TTGTTGCACATGAGGTACACCAAAAGAGGAGACTCTTTTTTGTTTTTTTGTTTTCTATCTTACTCCCAATCACCAGCTTTACAGTCTTATTAGCCACAGGCAACTGAAAGGGTGAAAAGTATAATGAGGATATTAAAGGAATGAATGGACCCAAAGCCCTTTCTTGTTCTTGGGTTATTGTGGAGATAAGTCTTGAGAGGACAGCAGCAAAGTAACACCAAAAAACAAGTTTGGAGGATCATCTTTGGATCTGAACTTCCGACTCTATTCTTTCTTTAAAATTAAAAATAAGCCAAGGGCGCCTGGGTGGCTTGGTTGGTTAAGTGTCCGACTTCGGCTCAGGTCATGATCTCACGGTCCATGGGTTCGGGCCCCGCGTCGGGCTCTGTGCTGACAGCTCGGAGCCTGGAGCCTGTTTCAGATTCTGTGTTTCCCTCTCTCTCTGCTCCTCCCCCATTCATGCTCTGTCTCTCTCTGTCTCAAAAATAAATAAATGTTAAAAAAAAATTAAAAAATTTAAAAAAAATTAAAAATAGGCCAAAGTACATGAACAGTTTAACTTTCTGGAGCCTAGATGCTTTAAAAAACAGATACACTCTCTGTTTCCACCCCTAGAGCATTAGGGCAGCAGAATACAGTGGCTAAGAGGCAGCATTTAGACTGCCTATGGCTCTCCCTCATCCATGCTTCTCCTGAGACACAGGTAGCAGGGCGGCACCAGCTACAGGATGCCTGTTAGCCATGTCTTGGCATCAAAATCCCCTTCCGGTGCCAATCTCCTTTTGTGCCTCCTCCCCCCTACAAAAAAAAAAAAAAAGCCAGAAAAATGAGAGCAAGTTGGTATGATTGTTCCTAGCATTATCAAGGTCTTGGTAAGTACCTGTCTTGGCCAGTAGGAGGAATCACTTACCGGGGCTTTTTTGTCAATGGGCTTGATGACAAATTTCTTGTCATTGAAAGAAATGTTTCTGATTTCACTCCAGGGAAAGCCTATCTTGGGAGTCAGTCTGTAGAGAACAAGAACATCAGGACAAGGGAAAGATAAGAAGGACATAGAGGGTTGGTGGTTTGCCTTCCACGCCTCCAACTTCTTCCTTAAAGAGGTAGATCCAGTGTTATCCTATGCCATGAGGACAGATGCCAGTATTGAGGGTGCACAAAAGACCTCCTGATACTACAACCAACATATTATTCCTTGTCCCAATCTTTGAGGGTTTTTTTTTTTTGTATTTTTTGTTGAGGCATGGACCTTATAAAAATCTCTCACAAGAATCTCCAGCCCTATTTTATTGGGACTCTTCCTCTCGAGGTTGTAACAGCTGGGATAATGTAAACAATGAGCTCTAAGATTCAGAAATTACATGGAACAATAATTTATTATATCCATCCTCACCAAGGGCAGACAAAAGGGAAAAAATAAGCAAGTGAGATATGTCTGTAGCAAGAGGGATTATAGGCCAAAAGGTATTTAATTGTCATATGGGAATGGGATTAATTATAAACCCTCACAAGGTAGGTTCTAGGCTAGTGCTGTCCAATGGAAATATAATGAGAACCACACATGTAATTTTAAATTTTCTAATAGCTATATGAAAATAAGTAAAAAGAAATATGGTGGAATTAAATATAATAACAGTTTATTTAACCCAGTATATCCAAAATACTATCATTTGAACATGTAGATTAATATTAAAAAATATTGAGACATTCTACATTCTGTATTTCACACTAAGTCTCTAAAGTCTGGTGTATAGTTTATACTTATAACATATCTTAATTCAAGAGTAGCCACATTTCAAAGTGCTTAATAGCCACATGTGGACAGTGACTACTGTAGTAGACACTGCAAATCTAGTCAATGCAAGATCTAGAGGCCTGGGATGTTGTGCAAACATTTGGGCTGATCTAAACTAGGTAGAAAAAGGTGGGACCCAGGTGGGACCCAGGAGGTACAGTCCTACTTCATCATGAGCTCTAGGTGTCAGAGTGGCCCAAATAAACTAAGAGACCTCTGAGCTATACCTGTCATTCTGCTCATAGATGTTGAGACCTAGAGCATCCACCCCCAGCCACAGCTCTGAGCCTTTCTTGTTCTTGATGCTGAAGTAGTTCACACCATACATCTCCAGGTCCTGGGCAATCTTCAGATACTCTAGGACAGCATCTTCCCTAAATGACAGATATGGAGGTGTTACAGAGGGGAGCCTATGAATTAGACCCAGGAAGACAGCATCCCTGTTCTGCACTTATGACAAGAATGTTCTTAGCAGAGCCCAGATAGTGTGGTGATGGCAAAATGAGAAGATTTATTCCTGAGCTAGACAACATCTAAATGATTTACTATGTTTAGAGAGCTCCTTCCCCATTTCTTTGTTGGGAAGAAGCCCTTGGTACCCCAGAAGTTCTCTAGGGATACTGAGGTCCCTTTCATTTCTTTACAGTCAAAACTGTTTGGGCTAACAGTTGCCATCATTCACAAAAATAATCCTGATTTGCCTTCTATCTCTACTTTCCCCTATAAATTGCATTCCTGTCCCTTTATCTCTAACATCTCCAGTGTCTTTAGTCTTTTGTCTCTTTTCCCCCACAACCTACTCTCATTCTCCCTAAAAAAAAGCAGTAGAACCTATAGTTTCCAGGGCAGGCTTACCTAAGCATGCCCCGGTGCTCCTCATGCCACACCTGGATCCGCTCCTCCCACTGGTCCTTGTTGAGTTTATGCTGCTCCAGGACCCTGGAAACATAACAGATAGTAGTTTCAAGCACAAAACCCAAATGAAGGAGTAAAAGGGAGCTCACTTAGCTCTCTGAAGGGTTTATGCAAAGAAAATATGGAAGTCAGCCCACTGAAGTCATATTGGAAGTAGATGGAAATTACAGCAGGAGGTATTAATTAGACATAGGGAACTGCCTGAGATGTAAGAGGGTTACAATAATGGGTGGAAAAGAAAGACAATGGAAACACCTTCCTTTGTAGTTTTAACCAAAAAATCCAATACTAAGGGGGTACCTGGGTGGCTCAGTTGGTTAAGTGTCCAACTCTTGATTTCGGCTCAAGCCATAAACTCACATTGTGAGATTGAGGCCTGTGTCAGGCTCCATGCTGAGAGTGGAGCCTGCTTAAGATCTTCTCTCTCCATCCCCCTCTGCCTGCTTCTCTCTCTCTCCCTCCCTCTCCCTCTCTCTCTCTCTAACACACACACACACACACACACACACACACACACACACAATAATATGTTGTGGTCTCCAAGTAGGGCAGTAATGTATCAAGAGTCTGTGCTGAATTGAAAGGCTAAGAGTCAGGACACTCTCTCCTAGATCCCTGTGGGACCAATAGTTTGTGTTTATGAGAAAATTGCTCAGGGATGAGATCACAGCCCGTGTGATCAGAGAACTGAGCCCAAATAGCTTTGGAAGAAACTAACAGGCTCAACCTCCCAGATGTACTACATCATAAACAAGACTTGTATTAACTTTTTTATGTTTATTTATTTGAGAGAGAGACAGAGAGAGAGGGAGACACACAGAATCAGAAGCAGGCTCCAGGTTCTGAGCTGTCAGCACAGAGCCTGATGCAACAACAAACCAACAAACTGCAAGATCATAACCTGAGCTGAAGTCAGATGCTTAAACCGACTGAGCCACCCCGGTCCCCCAAGACTTGTTTTAAATATGCCATCTCAGACATCAAAGCAGTGATCAGGTAGAGTTCCAGGGAACAACCACTATCCCTAACACTTTCAGGTAAGTTGTGCATATGCCACAGCTCCAATGGGACTGAGGATCCCAGAATCAAGAACTTTCCCTTCTATCCGAAAGCTTATGAAAATGGCCATTGGATGCAGTAGGGAAAAAAACAGGGTTAAAAATTCAAAAGACTAGGGCTCCAGGTCTGATTCTGTTTCAAATGAGCTGTGAGAGATCTGGCAATTCGTAGTGAGTGCCCCTGCTCTATTTCCTTAGCCAGGAAATAAGTATAATGCCTGCCTTATTCATTTTATGTGTTGTCGCGATGCTAAAACAAAAATAATGAATGTTTGAGAGCATTCAGCTTTGACGTTTATAAAAGCAGAAATCTCTATACACTGGCTGTCAATATTAAAAGACTGTTGGAACTCCCCCACATCCTGGCTTGGGTATTTCTCTCTCTCCTCTGTGAACCTCTGATACAAGAGGTCTAAATCAGTGAAAAGGATTGAGAAAATGGAACCAGGATAGGATATGTCAAGCCATCTCTGGTAATGCATACAAGCACCTGTTTCCAGAGTAAAGAAGTTCTGTAATCAGGCAGAGAGGGAAAAAAAAAACTTTTTACTTTGAGAGTCAGAGAGACAATAGGGTATGGTGCCATATGCAAATATGTCTCTCTGAGCAGCATAAGATGGTCCTCAGACAGACCCTAGTGGAAAGGAACAGATCTGGCAGTCCCTGTGTAATAGAGATTGGTCAGCCATGGACTGTAGCCCCCTCCCACCAAAGGCACTACCTTACCTCTGTGGCAGTAACTTGTCCCCAGCCAAGTAGCCAGACTTGTGGACTTCCTTATTGAAGTCACCATATTTAGACTGGACAGCATAGGAGGCCAGCAGCACAGCAGTCTCAGGTGGGCAGTAAATATCATCATTGAGAATGCCCTCCTTCACTTGCAGGAAGAACAGGCGCTGGGTGATGTCCTGGATCAATTCCTCAGATACATCCTCAGGGTAGAACTTAGCTCGGAACTTGAAGAGTAGAGGGCTTTCCTTCCGCACATCCTGGGCAGTCACCTGGGAATAAGAGGTTATGGGCTCTCAAAAAAATATTTTGGCTGTAGGATGGGGAGAAACACTGAAAGGTCATCAATTTGGGTAATCCCAAAGAGCCAGGGGACAATTGTTTTGGCAATTCAGAAAGGAGACACATTGCTTTCACTTGGGGACCCAATCCCATGTCCGTAATTGCTTCCCTTCAGAGATTCCTTCCTGAAATGACCTAAGACCCACTAATGATCATAAGCCTTTAAGATCCCACCATCTGACAATATATCCAACTGCCCCCAAAATTTGAGGTTAGGCTTAAGAAAGCTCCTCTTTTAAGTCTCCCACAACACTGTAAGTTAGCAAAGTAAAAACCAGTATGTATCATTGAGCCCTGGGAATTGGCTAGGCAAGATAACAAACTAGAATGCTTTTTAAAACCTGAAGTTGGCTCTTGAGAGCTCCACATTTGCCCAGAAAATGTCTCCACTCCTCTGGAAAAGAAGACTTTGCCAGCAGAGGGTGGGGCACCTATCCCCTAGCACAATCAGAAACACAAGCCACAGGACATTGGAAGTCCCCAAGGACAAAGTTGGGAAGTTTGAGGATACTGAGATGGAGGACTACCATGTTCCTGCAGAGATACTGTATGGAGGTGATGAGCTTGAATGGACATATACTCAAATCATCTCATTTGGAGTTCGACTGAGATAGAAAATGAAGAAAGAATGGGTTAAATAGATGATGGGTATTATGGAGGGTACTTGTTATGAGCACCAGGTGTTGTATGTAAATAATGAATCACTAAATTCTTCACCTGAAAATAATATTACACTGTATGTTAACTAGCTGCAATTTATGAACTTGGAGGAAAAAATATGTGCTAATAAACTTATGTGTAGACGCCTATAGAGGAAAAATAGAAAATCAAGAAAGAGGGAAGCATCTGTATGGAAGTTAGGTATGAGTCGACAGGTGGAGTAGGGACAAAATAAGATTAGGAGACCCTCAAGATTCTTTCCAGTTCAAGAGTCAGTGATTCTCTTTTAAACAATCCTCCTAGAGCCCTTGAGTTTGGCAAGAAAAAATAGGATGCTAATCCCCTCTTGAAAAGGCATTAATGGCTGTGGTCTAAAACAAGTCAAAGTTTAAGACAGAGCTCCCAGGAAAAAAGAAAGGGTCTCTCCATCCTTGGACGTTGGCCATTCTCACTGTTAGAAGTCTAAGTGGAGACAGAGCAAGAGCTCTGCCTTGGCTGAGGTCCTCTGCCTTTATTCTAATCTAGTGGTCAATGGACCACCCAGTGAAAAACACAGGCCAGAATTTTCCAGCTAGCACATATTACCCCATGAATAAGATGTAATGGAGAAATGAATTCCAAACCCAACAATGGGGTAAACAGTTACCTTTTTATTGAGTTTCAGCCAAGTAGAGAAACTTTTAGTGTCCTGGTACTGCAGACCAAAGAACCAAACTTCCCTCAGGCCAATAGTTTTTACCACCTAGAAAAGAAAATAAAAAGCAACAACTGATTGAATACATACTTTGTGCCAGGGACAGAGGATACAAAAGTCCAACATGGTCCCTGAATTTATTTTTTTTCCAAGTTTTTATTTAAATTCAAGTTAGTTAACATACAGTGTAATATTGGTTTCAGGAGTAGAGTTTAGTGATTTATCACTTACACAGTAACACCCAGGGCTCATCACAAGTGCCTCCTAATGCCCATCACGCATTTAACCCATCCCCCCACCCACCTCCCCCCTAGCAACCCTCAGTTTGTTCTCTATAGTTAAGAGTCTCTTATGGTTTGCCTCTCTCTCTGTTTTTCTCTTATTTTATTTTTCCTTCCCTTCCCCCATGTTCATCTGTTTGTTTCTTAAATTCCACATATGAGTGAAATCATATGGTATTTGTCTTTTTGTGACTGACTTATTTCGCTTAGCATAATACATTCTACTTCCATCCACATCACTGCAAATGGCAAGATTTCATTTTTCATGGCTGAGTAATATTCCACTATATATAAATATTTATATATATTTATATATAAATATTTATATATATATTTATATATATACTTATATATATATTTATGTTCCACTATATATATTTGTATATATATATATATTTATGTTCCACTATATATGATATATATATATATATATATATATATATATATATATATATATCTTCTTTATCCATTCATCAGTTGATTGGTCCCTGACTTTATTTTTTTTAATTAAAAAAAATATTTATTTATTTGAGAGAAACAGTACAAGTGGGGGAGGGGCAGAAAGAGAGGAGACAGAGAATCACAAGCAGGCTCTGCACTGTCAACACAGAGCCCGACATGGGGCTCGAACTCATGAATCCGTGAGATCATGTCCTGAGCAGAAACAAAGTGTCAGACACTTAACCAACTGAGCCACCCAGGCACCCCTGGTCCCTGATTTTAAAGTACATAAGGTGTCCAGGGTCTGGCAAGGAAATACACTTGGGCAGCAGTCAATAAATGATGTCAGCATCTCTTTTGCACAAGATACTTCCGATAAGGTAAGGAACAGGTTTATTACTTATAACCACTACCACACATCAAAAACGTTATATCCATTATCTTCTTTGATTTTCACAAGCCCTGTGATATATTTACAATTAGCCCAATTTTATAGTGAAAATAAGGTTGCAAGAAGTGAAAGTTCAGTTAGTGAGTAGCAGAATCAGGTCTGTTTGACTCCAAATACATTCAAATCCAGTGCTTTCTGCCACTTCTTCCTTCTATGATGTCATGTGCCTTTCCACTCCCAGAATGAATTAAAAGCTGGAAGTAGAAATTGTTGGTTTAACTCCTATATCTTGTTCTGCTGGATTGTTCCTTTATCTTTAGCAAGTAGGAATATTCCCACACTCTTTTAACTGAGTCCCATTTACAATGCCCAAGAAATAATGTTTGGGGAGACATAACAGGCATTGTGGTATCTATATACTCCAAAGATGTGCTGTGTCTGGGTGCTGAGATGCTTCTTTCCAGCCCTGATTTGAGGCTATTCATGATTCCCCTTACCACTCACACAGGTTGAGAGTGGGAAAGAGGGTAGAAACATGGTGAGTACCTCAGTATGTATAGTGGCTAAGGGGCCCCTTGTGTCGTGGGCCTTGTGGCTGAGAAATGGGTAGGAAAGGGAGAGCAGCCAGGAGATGGGGTTTGTTTTCCAGTCCCTGACATTAGCATGTTAATGGTTCTATCTGGCAGCTGAACCCAGAATGCCCATCACTGGAGATGGAGGCAATAAAGTTGAGCCACACCCTAATTGGCTATGCTGACTACCTTGAGGCTGGGCAGGGGAGATAGGAGAGTGAGGTGAAGAAATGTACCTGGAGATAGAAACAGGGAAGAAAAAACCAATATTTCTAATATCCTTCCTTGTGAACAAATCATATATTCCCTCAAAACACACACACACACACACACACACACACACACACACACGTACACACCTCCACTATATCCACAAAGTTTCTACTAGGCACCCAAAGCCAGGCCCCATAGTCACTCCCAAAGCTTATAATCTAGAACTTCAGAGGCCCCAAGGAAAAAGGATCTCATATCTATTAAGTAACTATTATGTACCAGGTACTGAACACTGAAAAACCCTGAGATAGCTATTATCTCCATTTTATAAATGAAGAAACAAAAGCTTATGGGGCAACCTGCCTACAACCATAAAGCCTAGACTAGAATCCTGATGTGCACGACTCTAAAACCCTTTCTTTTCTAGCATACTCTCTTTTAATTACAAGAAATAATAGGGGCTTAGGAGCCCTGGGGTTCCCAAACGACTAACTGCCTTGTCTCTCTTTTGCCCACATATCCAAGCAAGGTAATGAGCTTTGACCATCTCTGCAACTAGATATGGTTCCTGGATTTCCCACTAGGTTCAGTCAGCAACCACTTTGGAGAGAAGCCATATATATCCCCCCAGTCATCAAACTTCATTGCTCACTGAGGCATGCATGGTGATCAACCTTCCCTTTCACAGCTTGAATAAGGCATGAATAAACCTGAGTGAAAGTCTCACCTGTCTCTGATTTGGTGTGTGATCTTTATGCAGCACAGTTTCCTCTCTGGGACTTAGCTTCTTCATCTATCAAGCTTTTCCATCTACTACAACTCATATGGCTTGACTAGTCTCTTTCTTACCTCAAGTTCAGTCTACTAATTAGGTTTATTTTTAAAATTTTTTTTCAACATTTTTTATTTATTTTTGGGACAGAGAGAGACAGAGCATGAACGGGGGAGGGGCAGAGAGAGAGGGAGACACAGAATCGGAAACAGGCTCCAGGCTCCGAGCCATCAGCCCAGAGCCTGACGCGGGGCTCGAACTCACGAACCGCGAGATTGTGACCTGGCTGAAGTCGGACGCTTAACCGACTGCGCCACCCAGGCGCCCCTAATTAGGTTTATTTTTAAATGACTAAGAAATACTGTCCCATTTCCCACCTACCTCTTGCTGACTTGGGTAACTAGGAACATGTTTAGAAAAGATAAGTTGTGGGGGGCATGGGATGAGAAAAGATCAAAAGACTTCCAGGATTCAAAGGCAAGGTGAGTCCCTGAGTCTAAGTTAACAATCAAAAGGAATTGCCTATAGGTTTTAGATGTAGAATACAAAATGCTCATGTTGAAATGTGATATTGGCATCTTTTGTGGAGGATAGAGGCAGGGCATGGACAGAAAAGATTATTTAAAGCACTATTATCTAATCCTAGTTCTAAGATAGAGCCCAATTAACAGTTCTGATGATTTTCACAGGGTTGCAGAATGACAGTGGGTCCAGATGCAATTGGTGGGAAGAAGTAGGTCAGCCCCAGGAGAGAGAGAGACACACTGAAGATGCAGAAGATTAGGGCTAGGATGCTAGGTCATGGAGTAGCAGACTGGGACAGAACTGGTAGGGCAGCAAGTTGCATCTACCAACTGTAGAGGTTCAGAGACACCAGAATTAAAAGGGAGTAAGGCAGGTACAGACAACATAGCCAGTTGTAGAGATCCCAGAAGTGAACTCCCTAGCCTTGTTTTGTACCACATTGTTTGTTTTACTAGGAGGATAGGTAGGAGTGTAATAAGAGGAAGACCACAGGACCCAAAATAGTTCTAGGATCTGGGATATCTCTGAGGAGAAGTTGGACAAATAACAGCTAAGGTGATGTCAAAAAACAAAAACAAAAACAAAAAAGATTTCAGGATCAGTAAGGAATTTTAATCTCTCTGAGCTCTGCTTTTTCCTTTTCAAACACAGAGAAATCAGATGCATATAAATTTTCCATTTCCTTAGGCTCCAAGGCTTTGGAGAAATGAGCAATATCTCTCGGCTTCCAATGAAGTCCCAAAGTGAGGAAATGAGGGTGTGGAGGGAAGGAAATGTGATCTAAGGTCAGAATTGAGACTGAAAAAGAACAAAGGATAAAACAGATGACCCCTAGACTACAGGCTATAAGGAAGTCTCCAATTAAGGTCCACAGGGTACTGGGAATCATTTGTTCAGGCAACTCTTGTCTCCAAATGAAGCCAAGCTTCCCTTGCTTCCAGCTTTGCTTCCAGCTGAGACTTCCACTCCAGACAAAATGGAAACCCCATCTTCTAGTGGGAAAGAGTATCTAGGTTATGGTTCCAGGAACAACATCTGCTGCTGCAGTGACTAGGGTTCTTACCATTCCACTCTGAGAAATGGTTCCATTTCTGATAAAAATATTCTTTCTTGGTTCCCTTTGACCCCGGCCTGCCAACTTACCTGGCCTGAGCTAACATTTCTCAAATCTGCCATGGAATAAATCCATAAACAGCAGAAAATAATAAATACATATACTCAGAGGACACAAAAGGGTATTATATCCCAGGGGATGTAAGTAGATGGCTTCAAGCCAGAATTTCTTTGTAGCCTCAGGTTTAATCTTAATCACATGTGCACATTTTACATCTACTCCTTAAAGGTTTTAATAATGATATACATAACATCTACAAGTAAAATTGATGCTCCAAGATACTAAATCAAATTCATCCCACAGCTCTGTGTACCTCCTAAAACCAGTTATATACACTTATATATACACTGACTGTGAATTCTATTGAGCCACACAACACAAACTCCCACAACAGACTGTGCAGCATTATAGAATCCAAGCATCATAAACTAGAAAACTGAGGTCCAGTGAGGAGAAGAGATTTGCCTCTGAGAAAATCCTCACTAATTTCTAGGAGCATCTGAATGTAAGAAAGAACCCTCTTTTGTCACTCCTCTGCATGTGAATGCTGCTTACATCTGATATCTATGGATGGAAGGGGAGATCAGGTAAATTCTGGAGCCCAGAACCCTCTTTTCCATAACCCCCATGCATCTATTTGAGAAAACCAACAAGTGATGTAATCAGCCACTTCAGAATCCCAGATCAGGACTGGGAAGCAAGACTGGAGCTTCAAAAGGAAAACTGCATGAAAAATTAT